GCAGGCAGCAGCAGATGGCGTGCAGCGTCGCTCTCCGGAGGGCACTCTGTCCCTGTGGGCCGATCCCCCCGCGAGGGCCCCTCCCTTGAGGAGGAGGAGGAGGAGGAGGAGGAGGCGGAGGAGGAGGAGGAGGAGGAGGAGGAGGAGGAGGAGGAGGCTGGAGGGCGGAGGAGGAGGAGTAGGAGGAGGAGGCGGGAGGATGGGAGGATGAGGAGGAGGAGGAGGGGGAGGAGGAGGAGGAGGAGAGGAGGAGGAGGAGGAGGAGGAGGAGAGGCGGGGAGGAGGAGGAGGCGCACGCCGCCCCCCCCTGCCAGTGCCTCTTCGGTGCGCGCTGTCCCCCAAGGCGGGGGACAGCGCGTGACGGGCGGGGCCGGCGGCGCCACAGCGCGCGCGATATCTTTGCACCGCCACCCCTAACCGACGCCCCCTACCGCACTTCCGCTGGCTTCCGCCTGCCTCAGGGCGACGAGATTGATCTTGACTTATTTACTTATCTATTTATTTATGTATTTATTTATTTATTTGTATATATATATATACATATACACAATTATATGCATACATACATGTATATGTATGTATGTATGTATGTATGTATGTATGTATGCATGCATGCATGTATGTAGGTATGTATGTATGTATGTATGTATGCATGTATGTATGTATGTATGGATGGATGGATGTATGTATGTATGTATGTATGTAGGGATGTATGTATGTATGCATGTATGTATGTATGTATGTATGCATGTATGTATCCGCTGCTCCCTGGCTTAGGTCCATCCTTCACCCGGCGGCGGCGTCCACGCCACGCCCTCCTCGCTCGGCCGGGAGGGCGTGCACACGGCTCCCGGGCTCCGGGGTGGGCCTGGCCGGGGCGCGGCGGCCACGTCGCCATAGATCAAGAGAGGGAAAAAACACACAGACACAATTAATCGTCGATTCCCAGGAAGATATGGGAAGTGGGGGGGAAGACAAAAACCCAGAACATATGGGAACCTATAAGGAATATGTTTATTTGTGTGTCCTGGGGCCCCTCCAATAGACTTCGCCGCCTGGCGCCTCTCGCAAGCCCTCCGCCGGTGGCACCGCCCTCGCCCACGCACGCCGCACTGCGCCCGGGCCCTCCGCCAAGGATGAAGCGGAATCTGGGACACGCAAAGAAATACACACACATAAACATATTCCCCATCTTTTCCTATATGTAGTTTCTGGGTTTTTGTCTTCCCCCCACTTCCCATATTTTCCAATCTTTTCTGGGAATCGCCGATTCATTGTGTCTGTGTGTTTTTTCCCCTCCTGAAAAGGACGAGGACGGCGACCGCGCCCGACACCCTCGAGAGGCCGGGGGCCCCCTCCCTGGCAGCACCCCGCTGAGGTCGGCGGCCTCCCCGCCGAGGTCGGCGGGCCGCGGCTGGACCGCCGAGGCATCGGCGGTGCATCCGCGCTCCACGACGAGCCGCACCGCCGGCGCATCGGCGGTGCGGCGCGAGAGCTGCCGACCCAGCCAGTCTCAAGTCGGGCGTGTCCCCCTACAGGCGGATTTGCGACGAAAAAGAAAAGATACCCCCCAAATAAATAAAAAAAACCAAAAATAGCCTGGGGACTATGTTTTGCACATTCTTTGACCTTCTGGGGATATTTTGAACTTTTCGTCGAAAATCCCTCTGTAGGGGGGCACGCCCGACATAAGGCGGTCGGACCTCATCTGAGGGGCCTGGAGCAGGCAGCGACGCAGCGTGCAGGAGCCCTGGACCCCAGGGCCCACGAAGCACCCGGTGCCCTGTGGGGAACGGGTCCTTCCCTCAGGACCAGGTTCTCACCCGGAGCTGCCTTTGGTTACCACACCTCGCCTCGGGACCCGTGCCCTTCACGACCAGTGTTAGGTCGGGCATGTCCTGCGACATGCGGATCTTGGACGAAAAACGAGAAATAGTTAACGAATGTTCAAACATAGCCCTGTAGGAGGACATGCCCGGCTTAAGGCCAGTGGCGCCGGAGGCCTGGACCGCCTGCCCGGGGCCCCCTCCCCCCTGGCCTGGGGCCCCCCCGGTTGGGCGTGGCCGACCGACCACGGGCCTGCGCCCACCTCACCGACAGCCGCGGCAGCCTCTTGGGCGCGCGAACGAATGGAGGGGCGACAGGGGGGGGGGGGGGGAAGAAAGGTGCCTTGGCCCTGAAGTAGAGGCCTCCTGCGTGGGGTCGGAGGAGATCGGGGCCGGATGATCGCGCCGCATCGCCGATACATCGGCGATGCATCGGCGATGTGTCGGCGATGCACCAGAGATGCTTTGTCGACGTCGCCGATGCATCGGCGACGCCAGCGTGGAGAAAATCGGGCTCCACATCGAGCCGCGTCGACGATGCATCGCCGATGCGTTGGCGATGCTGCGCGATCCTCCGACCCCATCTGGGAGGCCTAGATACCGGCCCCCTTCTGGGCCCGAAAGGGCCCCCTTGGGGGCCCCAGAGGGCCTCTCCTCGGCAGCCCTCGCGGAGCCCCCCCCCCACTGCGCGCCCTCCGAGCCTCGCGCCCTCGGCCGCCTCCCGGCCCGCCGCCGCGCGGCCCGCCAGGGCCACGACGGCGAGCGCCAGCGGCCGCAGGCCGCCGCCCCGGCCGCCGCCGGCGCGCGCGCGCGCGGGCGGCAGCCCCTGCGCCCCGCTGCCGCCGAGCGGCCCGCCGCCTGCCCTCCACCGGCGCGCGCCGCAGGGCGGCAGCCTCCGCGGGCCTCGGCCGCCGTGGGGCCCGCAGCGGCGGCGGTGGCGGGCGCGGGCGGGCGCAGGCCGCCGGCCCGGCCTCCACCGGCGAGCGCCGCTGGGCGGCGGGCTCCGCGGGCCCCGCTGGAGGACGTGCGGCGGGGCATGGCGGGCGCTGGCTGCGGCTGCGGAGGTCGGAGCGCCCGCGGCGGGGCCGGCGTGAGGGGCGGAGGGAGGCCGGGTTTTTGTCTTCCCCCCCACTTCCCATATTTTCCGATATTTTCTGGGGGATCGACGATTCATCGTGCCTGTGTGTTTTTTCCCTCCAGAAGGGAGGGCGCGCAGCAGAGCCCCGAGGCACGTACGCGCACGGGCGGGGGGGGTCCGAGGTGCGCTGGACGAAGCAGAGAGGGGGCCACGACAGGTGGGAGACGTCACGGCCCCAGCCATGACGTCCACACCACCTCCCTCCTCCTCCTCCTCCTCCTCCTCCTCCGCCTCCTTCCTCCTCCTCCTCCTCCCACCCTCCCTCCCCTCCCCCTCCCTCCCTCCCTCCCTCCCTCCCTCCCTCCCATCCCTCCCTCCCTCCCGTCCCTCCCTAGCCCCGCCCTCCCTCCCTCCCTCCTCCCCCTCCCTCCCTCCCTCCCTCCCCCCTCCCTCCCTCCCTCCCTCCCCTCCCTCCTCCCTCCTCCTCCTCCTCCTCCTCCTCCTCCTCCTCCTCCTCCTCCTACTCCCCTCCTCCTCCACCTCCTCTCCTCCTCCTCCTCCTCCTCCTCCTCCTCTCCTCCTCCTCCTCCTCCTCCTCCTCCTCCTTCCTCCTCCTCCTTCCTCCTCCTCCTCCTCCTCCTGCTCCTCCTCTCCTCCCTCCTCCTCCTCCTCCTCCTCCTCCTCCTCCTCCTCCTCCTCCTCCTCCTCCTCCTCCTCCTCCTCCTCCTCCTTTTCCTCCTCCTCCTCCTCCGCCTGCTCCTCCTCCGCCTTCTGCTCCTGCTCATGCTGCTCCTGCTCCTGCTGCTCCTGCTGCTCCTGCTGCTGCTCCTCCTCCACCTAATCCACACCTCCCTCAAGCGCCCTCGCCTAGGGTCAGAGGAGGCGGCACCGGGAAGGCAGCGGGAAGCAGGGATGGGGGGGACGAAGGAGAGCGCAGGGAGCCATCCGGGGAGATCTCCCTGTGGGAGAGGAGGCTGTTGAGGGAACCAGGGGGACAATGAGAGCAGGTGGACAAACCTCCCTGTAGTAAACCTCCCCTTAGTGAAAACGACCTGGGACCGAAACCGACGGATCTGGACCCGCAGAAACGACGGCCGCAACGCCTCTCGCGAACCGAAAACGGCCAATTCCTTAATCGACGTATCAGGGTAGCAGGTCTATCCACCTCCGAAAAACGAGAGCAGGTGACGTCTTGACTCCATGGACTTTTCCATATCCAGTGTCTCATTTGTATGCGCGGAAAGCTTGTGCAACTGAGACCCTGCTGGCTTGGCCTAGTTTTAACACCAGAACTGTTTCGAATGACATTAACCAATGATTCGTTGTGTGACGCGCAGCATGAGACCAACCCGCCGTGTAACGTGTGACCCGTTCAAAAACCACACCGTGTGCAGCATCTTGAGATGGCCAAGCGATCAAATCAGCTGGAAAGAACATCCTAAGCCGATGTATGTGTACGTCATTTTGATTCAAGTAGCTTGTGCTCTTTTCAAGCCTCCCCTGGCCCTGACATGGGTCATTACTCTAGGCACTGAGCAGGCCAATGCAACACGACACAGGAACAACAATTATGTGAGTCCGACTTCCCGTTGAACAGGGTTTGCCCAACTGCGCTCAGCTGTCGGCAGCCTAAACTCGTAATTCCTGCTGCTGGCAATCCACGCACAACATAGCACAACCCGTGGAACACACAGTCGAGCACCAGTGTCCTACACAGTAGCCCAAGGAGGCGATCCCGCAGTGAATTTGCTTGCAATCGCGCTTCTCGTTCGGGCAGAACTGCTAGAACGGGAGAACCATGAACAATGAACCTCCACACACACACACACTTTTTATCACAGCTGAGACTAACTCTCGTCGTATATCATTAATTTTGTTACTAAGCAGGCATTTCGCCCAAATAAGTTCACTGTGTAGAGCGACGAGTAGGCGTGCTAAAACTCTGTGGTGGTCCGATTAAAAAATGACCAAATAATCATTACGCACGCATGGTGAGGAAGCGTACCAGTTCAACTCAATGGATGCATGGCCTGTCCACTGGGTCGGTCTTCAGTCATGCCGATATTTCAAAGTAAAGTAGCCGACGTAGATTATGTTTTCCCCCCCTTGCCTGAGCGCCTGCCAATTTCCGGCCGCAGAAGGTCGCCGTGCCACACACTGCTGGCCATGCCGCCCTTCACTCCACGTATGTGAACTTCGCAGAACTTCCCGTGCCGCAGACGGACACCAGGCCGCGGTCTGCCAACGCCTGTGCCCGCTCCAGCGCCTCGCGCCCACCGCTGGCCGCGCCCGCGCGCGCCGCGGCGAAGGCGCTGGCGCCGCCAGCGCGGGCCGGCAGCTCGAGGCTGTCGGGGTACGCGGCCAGCTTGCCGACGAGCTCTTCGCCCGCCAGCACGTGCCAGCGCTTCAGCAGGCGCATGATGGCTGCATCCACCATGGGAGCACGCGCGGCCGCGCCACTCGCCGCCGCAGCCTCCTCTGGCGCGCCTGCCCCCGCGGCGGGAGCCCAGGAGCCCAGCAGCAGGAGGGCCTCCAGGTCCAGTGGCCCCGAGGCGTCCGCGGGGCACGCCCGCAGGGCGACGATCGCCTCGGCGCCGCTGCCCCTCGACTCGACGACGCCGCCGCTGGTGAGGGGCAGCGGCAGCGGGGGGGCTGGGGGGGGTGCCGACGGGTCGGCGAGAGGCCCCCGACAGCGAGTCCGCACCTTCCTGGGCGGGGTGGGGCCATCACGCCACTACTAGCGATCAAGGGGCGATTGGGGGTCGAGGCGTTCCCCCCTGAACCTATGGTCAGGAACGTGTGCGTAGCGCGTCGCCGCGGCCGCCCTGGCGGCACGCTGTCCACTGCGAGCGGGTAATTCGCGGCTTGCGCGTCGGCTTGCGGGGCGGGAGGCTCGGAAAAGGCTCGGGAATGTGGACGGCTGGGGACCGGGGCATGGCGTAGCATGTCGCGCTGGAGCGGGGCGGGCCAGATTCAGCGGAGCGACGCGCCATCCCAAAGTTCCCGACCGCATCACCCCCCCCCTATCGCTGCCCCTGAGCTGGGGCTGCAGAGCGACTCCAGCGCCTGCCGCCACGCAGCGGCCCCAGCCTCGCCGTCAGCGCCCTCCCAGGCCGCGGCGGCCTGGAGCAGCTCGTGCTCGGGCACCGCGCGCCCGCCGCCCAGCGCCAGCAGGAGGTGCGCCTGCAGCTCCGAGGCGGCGACCTCCGTGCGCCCTCGGGCGTGGCGCCAGACGAGGAGGCAGGAGCCCAGCGCCGGCTGCCACCTCAGCTTCCGGTGCGGGAAGCGCCCGTGGTAGCTGCTGGACCACCGCTCCCGCGCCTCCAGCAGCGGGCGCGATGCCTGGAACAGGGACGGCACCTGCGCGCTCAGCTCTGGCGCGTCAGCGGGGCTGCCCGTCGCCAGCCCGGCGCCCTTGGCTGCGGCGGCGCTGCAGACGACCGCCCTCCAGGGGCAGCCCTCGGCCGTCAGCTCCCCGCGTCCCGCGGCGTCCCGCCGCAGCTCGCCGAGGTGGTGCAGGGCGAGGTTTGCCGCGCCGCACTCCTTCCTGAGGAACGACACCAGGTACTCCTCCACGTCGGCCTGCAGCTCCGCAGCTCCCAGCGCTCGCTGTGCCGCGAGCCGCGCGTGCGCGTGCAGTGCGGTGGTGCTGTCCGTGCTGGGCGCCAGCGTCAACCGCAGCAGCAGCACGAGCGGCGCCAGCCGCCCCTCTGCCGCGTGCCTGCTGGCCCCACCAGCCGCACCGCCAGCGGCGGCCCGTGCCTCCTGGTGCACAGCGAACGCGAGGGCCTCTGCGGCGCGCTCGGACGGCCAGGCTTCCAGCATCGCCATGCCAGCGCACCAGGGCGGCGCCCGAGCTGCCAGCGCGGCGCGCAGCCTGGGGGCCAGTCGCGCCACGTCGAGGGACCGCATGTCGGCGGTGCCGGCGTCCCAGACCCCGTCGCTCATGTCGACGCCGAGCCAGGGGGGCAGCGGGGGCGGTCTCAGCTCTTCTGCAGCCGCGCCGTTGCCGCCGAACGCGGCCGCGAACTTCGGCGCCAGCGCGGCAGCCATGACCGCTGGGCCGACATCTGGCAGCAGCGCCTCGCACACGGCGTGCGTCGCAGAGAGGAGCGCGGCGGCCCACCTGACCAGCGCTGCGGCCCCGATCTCGGGCTTGACACGCGCGATCTGCAGCAGCAGTGCCACGGCGGACACCAACGCACTGCGCAGGTGGTGCAGAGTCTGGGGGTCCGCAGAGGCGTCCAGCGCCGCACGAAGCGATGCAAAATAGGCCTGTGCCTGGCAACCATCGCCCGGCAGACCGCTGCCGCCGAGCGCGCCCAGGGCAGCGGGTGCGAGCAGCCACGCGAGAATCCAGGGCAGCACAGCCATGCTCTGCGTCAGCCACGCCGCGGCACAGCGCGATGCCAGCTGGCAGCCGAGGCGGCTCTCGCCCGACGGCCTGCCACAGTGGACCCGGTCGAGGAACTGCTCCGCCTGGACGCAGTGGGCGCAGCGCGCAGCCCAGCCCTCCGGAGGCCCCCCGCGCACCACGGCCTGCAGAGCCGTCGCGGCCTGGCGCTGGAAGGCCTCCTGGCTCGCCGCCAGCAGCGCCCCCGTGTACCGCTGGCGGGCGCCCTCCGCCGACGGCTGCGCCAGCAGCGCCGCGGTGCCCCGGAGAGCCCGGAGGCCCCGCGCGCCCAGCGAGTCGGGGTCCGCTCGGAACTGTGCCACGGCGGCGACCTGGGCCTCCTGCAGCGCCTCCAGGGCCGGCGCGGCCGCGGGCCCCGCCAGGAGGGCCCTCGAGGCGGCCCCCAGGGCGGCGCACTCCAGGGACGAGCCTCCCCAAGGCATGCCGGCGGTGATGTCACCGAGGGCGCTCGCGCCCGCGTGAAGGCACGTCCACCTCTCCGACAAGGCCCCCGCGCCGCCGGCCGACGCTGCCTTGCGCAAGGCGTCCAGCTGGGGCCGCAGAGCCTCTGACATCAGCTCCTGGAAGGCTGCTCTGCCCAAGCCGTGCAAGCGGCAGGCCACGTCGTCCACGACGACGAGGTGCGTCGTGCCCTCTAAGATGTGGTCCACGCACTGCCGCAAGTACGGGTCTGGCGCCACCATGGCACCCGCGCTGGCGCGCGACGCAGCCGACGGTGGACGAGCCATGATCCAATGGCTACGTAACTCCACCTCTCCAAACGGCGCCCAAGAAACACGTCTACCGGCCAATTCTCGCCCAACGTCGGTCAACGGACGCGTACTGGACCACTTCCGACATTCTTTTCGAGCCGCGTCCAGTCGTATCCGCGAGGGCTCCCTCGAGGGCAGCCCACAAGCGATCGTGACTACAAGTGGCCAGCTCTCGAAGCCCTGGAACCGCTGGCGTCGCCTCGATCTCAGCCTTCACCTCCGCCGCCTCCCGCCAATGTTCCGCCGGCGAAGCCGCTCCGTCATTGCCGACGGCCTGCGCCGGCCTCCGCCGAGGCCGAAGAAGTCACTCCCTCCACTTCTCGAAGCGCAACCCTCCTCCTCCTTCTCCTCCTGCTGCTCCTCCTGCTGCTGCTGCTGCTCCTCCTCCTCCTCCTCGTCCTCCTCCTCCTCCTCCTCCTCTCCTCCTCCTCCTCCTCCTCCTCCTCCTCCTCCTCCTCCTCCTCCTCCTTCCTCCTTCCCTCTCCACCTCTCCGCCTCCCCCCGCTCCCCCAGACAAGGCCTGCGCTCGAGGGTCCTCGCGAGGGTGGCTCGCGGGACCGGGCGGGCCCGCCGGGGCTTCGCCTCTTGCCTGGCCTCGTGGCCGGTCGTGGGCGCTCCGTGCGCTGGGCGGGTCCGCCGGGGTTTCGCCCGAGAGTTTTTTTTTTTTTTTTTTTTTTTTTTTTTGTTTTTTTTTTGTCAGGCCAAGTGGACCTTGCATGGGCGGTCGCACCCCCCCCCCCCCCCCCCCTTCGCCCCTCTTCAAGCGAATACTAGCGTGCAAGTGCCTTTCGACTTGCGTGATTTCCGCGCCCCCCCCCCCGGCGTGCTTCAGGCTCAGCCCCCCCCCCATCCATGCAAGTAAGCTTGCCAAAATCCTATAAAAAAATAGGCGCCCGTGGCCGCCTCCGGGGCGCCCCGTGCGCTGGGTGGGTCCCCATGGTTTTTTTCGCCTGGTGTCCGTCTGTGGCGGCCCACGGGTGGTCGAAGAGCTTGCACCGCACGGCTTGCACCACACGACTTGCAGCACATTGTTTTTTTTGTTTCTTACTTTTTCTTTTTCTTCAGAGAGCATAGATTCCCCCCAGATTAATTACCCCCCCTTTTCGTACTTCAATTTGCAGCTGATTCTGCCCCGTCGTCCAGCCTGATTATGAGTTCATACCATCCCAGCTGAACTGGTATCGACTCCCCCCCGCCATCCTCTGCAACAGTAATTCTATGCGCGCACTCGATTCTCCTTTCTGAAAGGAGAATAAACTCTACCCCCCCAACGTCATCCGTACCCCTTTCGGGTATGTAAATCAAATATGCTTTGACCACATGTCCATCCTAAATATGAATTTACACTATCCCAGGGGGGCTGGTATCGACCCCCCTGAAGTTCCCTGGTACAAAAACGGTACACGGGGACATTTTCTGCTCTATCATAAGACTTGTTCACGAATCTCTCGCAACAAATAGGGAGAAGTGCACACGCGCGCGTCGTCGCGCGCGCATGCCGAAATCCTTCAAAACCTTCGGTGTCGAAGGATTTCGCAATCGAGTTTTCAAATAGCCTGGCGAAAGACCCAACCATACGCAGATGTGACTACCGCAATTGTGAATAACATCTTCGCCCGCGCTCCCGATGTGGCCACAACTTCCCGCCGGAGCCCGACATGCTCAGGGACACGTTCGTGGCCGTCTTCGCGGGCGCCGACGACGACGAGGACGGCGCCCCCTGACCGAGGAGCAGAAGCAAGAGAGGCTCGCGAGAGCCATGAAGAGGCCTGCCACTGGGCCTTCCGGTGGAGCTCCTATGGGCCACGATCCTCGTGAGGGGTGTGGCCGAAATGGCGCCAGGCCGCTATGAAAATCCAATGACACTGATCCTTCGGGAGTCTCCTATGGGCCACGATCTCGTGGTAGGGTGTGCCCAAAAATGGCCCGGGGCCAACATGCGAACCCTGCCACGGGCGCCTTCGGTGAGGCCACGATCCTCGTGAGGGATGTGCCGCAATGGCCCGGGGCCGCCATGCGAACCCTGCCACTGGGGCCTTCGGTGGAGCTCCAGTGGGGCCACGGTCCTCGTGAGGGGTGTGCCGAAATGGCCCGAGGCCGCCATGCGAACCCTGCCACGGGCGCCTTCGGTGGAGCTCCCTATGGGGCCACGATCCTCGTGAGGGGTGTGTGTGATGGCCCTACCGCCCCCACTACCACTGCCATACTGGCGCCATGCTCCTGTGAGCTTCCTTGGGGCCACGATCTTTGACTTTGTGAGGGTGTGCCGGAATGGCCCGAGGCCGCCATGCGAACCCTGCCACTGGGGGCCTTCGATGGAGCTCCCCATGGGGCCACGATCCTCGTGAGGAGTGTGCCGAAATGGCCCGAGGCCGCCATGCGAACCCTGCCACTGGCGCCTTCGGTGGAGCTCCCTATGGGGCCACGATCCTCGTGAGGGGTGTGCCGAAATGGCCCGAGGCCGCCATGCGAACCCTGCCACTGGCGCCTTCGGTGGAGCTCCCTATGGGGCCACGGTCCTCGTGAGGGGTGTGCCGAAATTTCCCGAGGCCACCATGCGAACGCAGCCACTGGAGCCTTCGGTGGAGCTCCCTATGGGGCCACGAAGCGCCGTACTGGGTGTGCCGAAATGGCCCGAGGCCACCATGCGAACGCAGCCACTGGAGCCTTCGGTGGAGCTCCCTATGGGGCCACGATCCTCGTGAGGGGTGTGCCGAAATGGCCCGAGGCCACCATGCGAACGCTGCCACTGGAGCCTTCGGTGGAGCTCCCTATGGGGCCACGAAGCGCTGTACTGGTGGGTGAAACGCAGGGGGGGAGAAGGGGAGGATGGGGAGGGAAGTGGGGAGGAGAGGAAGGAGTGACGCGGGGCACCGTCTCTCAAAACGAAGACCCACACCCACAGAAGGTTGGGAAAAAACTGAATACAAAAACACAAGTTTCGCAACACGGTTTTTGCTGAAAAGCTACGCGCGAGCTCTTGCGAAATCTCAAGGAAACCATAGGTTTTGCAAGATTTTCACAAAATGCTACCAAACGGGCTTCGCGCGCGCGCATGTGGAAATCTGTCGAACGCCCTTGCGCGTGTGCCGTCGCGAGAATCCTTTGCAACAGATGGGACGAAGTGCAGACGCGCGCATCGTCGCGCGCGTATGCCGAAATCCTTCAAAACCCATCGGTTTCAGAAGGATCTCAAAATCGTGTCCAAACAACATACAAAAACACAAGGTTTCGCAACACGGATTTTCAACAAAAGCCTGCGCGCGCGCTCTTGCGTCGTCGTCGTCGTCGTCCTCGTCCGTCCTCCCTCTTCCCTCGTCGTCGTCGTCGTCGTCGCCGTCGTCGTCCTCTGTCTTTCCTCGTTATCGTCGTCGCCTTGGCGTCGTTGTCGTTTCCGTCGTCGTTGTCGCCGTGGTCGTCCTTCCTCCTCCCTCGACATCTTCGTCCGTAGTTGGCGTCTCGTCGACGTCCCTCCTATTTCGTCGCCGTCGTCGTCGTCGTCGTCGTCTTCCCTCCTCCCTCGTCGTTGTCGTCGCCGGCGTTGCCGTCCTCCCTCCTTCTTCGTCGTTCGCGTCGTCGCCGTCCTCCCTCCTCCCTCGTCGTTGTCGTCATTGTCGCCGTCGTCGTCCTCCCTCCTCCCTCGTCGTCGTCGTCTTCGTTGGCGGCGTCGTCGTCGTCGTCTTCGTCGTCGGCGTCGTCGTCGTCGTCGGCGTCGTCGTCGTCGGCGTTGTCATCGTCGTCGTCGTCGTCGGCGTCGTCGGCGTCGTCGTCGGTGTCGTCATCGTCGTCGGCGTCGTTGTCGTCGTCGTCGAAGTCGTTGGAGACGTCGTCGGTGTCGTCGTAGTCGGTGTCGGCGGCGTCGTCGTCGTCGTCGTTGTTGCTGTCGTCGTCGGCGTCGGTGCCGTTGCCAAGTGCCATTTGGTACCTACCGTCACGGTCTTAAGAGGTCTTGCGACCAAGTTGCGGGTGGGAGGGTGGGATGTCTGCACGAGCAGCGGAGGGGACAGCTTCAAGACAGTCAAAGTGATTTATCAACATAGACTGCACCACGTAGTTTGCCCCACATAGCGTACACCACTGAACTTGCACAGCAGCGCTTGCCCGCATGCCGTGCACCACAAAGCTCGCACCCCGTCGCTTGCGCCGCATAGCTCCTGCACCGCGTAGCTTGCACCACGTAACTTTCACCACGTAGCTGGATCATGCCGATTGTACCACATACCTTGCGCGTCCACGGTGCAATAACTCACCTGTTTAGGGATCCACGTTGTCAAATCCGCTGGAACTGTCGGCGTGCGTGAGACGTTTTTCCGTTTGAGTCGTCGTCGCCGTCGCCGCTCCCCCCTTTTCCCTGGGCCCCCCTCTTCGAGCGACCCAGCCAGGCGGAAATCAACCAACGTCGAAATGTATTGAAAAGGGCGCCCCTTCCAATGGATCTCTTCCCCGGCGGCGGGGGCGGGTCCCGTGGGGATCCAAGGAGGGGCGGGGCAGCGGGTCCCGAATGCATTCTGAAGGGAGCCCCTTCCAATTGATCTGAATGTATTCTGAAGGAAGCCCCTTCCAATTGATCTGAATGTATTCTGAAGGGAGCCCCTTCCAATTGATCTCTTCCAACGTCGGAATGTATTCTGAAGGGCGCCCCTTCCAATGGATCTCTTCCCTGGCGGCGGGGGCGGGTCCCGTGGGGATCCAAGGGGGGGGGCGGGGTAGCGGGTGGGGTCCTGGGGGTCGTGGCCTGCCGCCTGGGGGTCCCGCCTGTGGACAAGGGGGGCAGTGGGGTGGTCCCGTTGTGGACGGGGGAAACTCAGGCCTCCTCCCTCCTCCTCCTCCTCCTCCTCCTCCTGCTCCTCCTCCTCCTCCTCCTCCTCCTCCTCCTCCTCCTCCTCCTCCTGCCCCGCCTACCCCTTCTGGACACGGGGACCACCATCACCACCCCTCGTCCCAGACTCCCCCTCCCCCCAAAGGCACCCACCCTGCTCTTACCTGCTTCTGCGGGGTGCTGCGTACCTTCCCACATGCCCCCAAGAAACCTCA